AGAAATCATGGTAAATGAGATTAAGGATGTAGAAGAATCACAAGAGCCATTCAACTTCACTTTAAAGATTTACTACCATTTTTTCACAATGAGCTGTTAGAGGTTCTTTTAGCCCATACACCCGAGATCAAGGCCTGAGACGTGGACGAAGAAGAGCCAACACGATTGTTGAACAGACTAGGCTAACCATTAACCTTGATGTGGAAGAAAGTTTGGATGAAGAAATAATGATGAAAAATAAAAGAAGCCACAGAATTGATAAAGTTATTGTCAGAATTTAAAGATTACTTTGCCTGGAGCTGTGATGAAATGTCAGAGCTATCAATAGAAGTTGCACTTCATAAACTTGCGGCAGACAAAGATATGACCCCAGCGAAACAAGCTCCCAGAAGGATGCGCCTCGAGATAGAGTAGCAAATCATTGTTGAGGTAAGGAAGTTAATAGATACTAACTTCATGAAGAAAGAGCAATACCCCCACATGGTTAGCCAGTAATATACTAGTTAAGAAAAAAGAATGGACAAATCCGTATTTGTGTCAACTTCAAAGATTTAAATAAAACATGTCCAAAAGATGAGTTTCCATTATCGATACCAGAGTTGATGGTAGAAATTGCTTCGATACATGAGATATTCTCTTTCATGGATGGATCTTCAAGTTACAACCATATCAAGATGGCTCCAAAAGATGCAGTACTTAGAGCTTTCAAGATTTTGATTGGGATTTTGTGCTACGCTGTAATGTCATTCAGGTTGAAGAACGATAGAGCAACATAACAACTAGTTATGATGAAGATCTTTGATGACCTCATTCACAACCAAGTGGAATACTACGTGGATGAGCTAGTCATCACAAGTAAACAGCGAATAAACCATTTGTATGATTTGAGGATCATGTTCAAATGATTATGTCAATATAATTTTAAGATGAATCCCATAACGTGTGCCTTTGGAGTCACCTCCAGTAAATTTCTAGGATTAATTGTTCGTCATCGGAGAATCAAGATCAACCCAGATAAGATTAAAGCTAACTTGGAAATGCTTTCTCCCAAAACTTTGAAACAACTATGTTCCTTCCAAGGAAATTTGGCTTATCTAAAACGTTTTATTTCTAATCTCTCAGTTACTTGTTAGCCCTTCTCTATCTTAATTAAAAAGGACCCCAAATTTGTTTGGGAAGACAAGTGCCATCGGCCCTTTGAGAACGTTAAGAATTATTTATTGACACCTCCTATTTTGGTAGCCCTGTCTAGGGAAGTTTGATTCTTTTTACCACTACCTTAGAAGACTCTCTCGGAGCCTTGCTAACTCAGTTCAATGAAGAGGGTAAGGAAAACACACCCTACTACTAGAATCATCGTATAATATCGACGGAGGTAAAGTATCCACCTAATTAGAAACATTGTCTAACTTTAATTTTTTCCACCCAGAAGCTTAGACATTACATGCTTTCTCATAAGGTAACCCTTATTTTCAAAGTTAATCCATTGCAATATTTGATCCGACCTTTCTAAACATTTGACAAGGTGGTAGATGTAACTTTGCATGCATCATTTGCAATCGAGGGGACCATTGCAATATTTTGCTGTAATTCAATATAAATTTTGTTCCCCTTTGCGCTATCAAGAGATAAAATTTAGCATATTTTTTTTGCATCACACCCACTTTTAACTGGTCCCCTCTCAATCATGGCTACCAGATGAGTAGATACTAAAAATAGAGTCGTTCAGTGCCAAATGTTAGGAAATGTACTTTGATGGAGCTTCATCATCTAGAAAGGACAAAGGATCAGAAATAGTTATAGCAGGAAAAGTAGGAATTGGTCTAATCTTCATCACACTAGATCAGGGTATGCTGAGATTCTCCTATCACCTGATAGAGTCATGCACAAATAATGAAGCAGAATATTAAGCATTGATCATCGAATTAGGGTTGGCAATCTTAACGGATATAACAGACATTTTCATCTATGGTGACTCACAACTCGTCATCTAACAAGTTGTTGGATAGTATAAGAGTTTGAAGCCAAAGCTAGCAGAATATGATCAGTACACAATGAAGTTATTAGAATAGATCCTTAGTATGACTCTATACCAGATTCCTTGGGGAGATAATGCCCGTGCTGACGCTTTAGCGAAACTTGCTAAGGAACTGGCTCATCCACTAGAGGATTCAGTTGACATTACAGTACAAGGTTGTTAGGTTTTGTTTGTTATTGACATAAAAAATTTATACAAATTCAGAAAAGAAGAAGAAATGATGATTGCAGTAATTGAAATTAACGAAGGTTGGCACAAGTCATTGATAGAAAATTTACAAACAAGAAAGCTACCAGAGGACAAGTCTGAAGCATATCACATCATGAGAAGAGCTATATTGTATGCTCTAGTGGGTGATGTCCTCTACAAAATATCATTTGATCAGATGTTGCTGAGTGTCTAAGAAGAGCCGACTTACAAAATATCGTCCAAGAAATACATGTCAGATTTTGTGGAGCTTACCAATCAAGGACAAAGATGAAGATGAAGATTGAAAGACTCATTTATTATTGGTCAGCAATGATATTTGATTGCATGGATAAAAACAAAAATTATCACCTTTATCAAGTGCATGGGGTGGTCTTACACCAACCTCTGAATGTGCTACATCCAACCGTTGCCTCATGGCCATTCGAGTGTTGGGGCACAGATGTAATAGATCCAATAGACCTTCCATCCCAAAAGGGACATAGATTTATTATTAAAGCTATAGATTACTTCTCCAAATTGATAGAAGCAGTGTTGTTACGGGAGGTTACAGTACAACACGTTCTTCAATTCTTCAAGAGTTAGATTGTCTACCGTTTTGGTGTGTCACGCAGAGTAATTTCAGATAATGGGCCAACCTTCAAAAGCAATAAGATCAAAAACTTTATCAAGCAACATGGTATGATTGGAGATACTCTACAATTTACTATCCCAGGGAAAATCGCCTGGTCAAGCCTATTAATAAGATGCTAGTGCAAATTTTGAAAAAGATGTTGAATGAGAATAAAAGAGGATGGCATGATAAATTGTTAGGAACTTTGTGGGCCTACAGGAGGACATTTAGAACTCCCACTCAATGTACACCCTATACACTTGTATATGGGTCTGAGTACGTACTACCATTAGAACGCTAGATACCATCTCTCAGAGTCTCCATCGCCAATCAAATTATAATAGAAGATAGTGCAAAGCTCAGACATGAGGAATTGGAAGGTCTCGAGGGAAAAAAATTAGAAGCACATCAGAATTTGAACTCTATCAAGCAAGGATGGTGCAGGTTCATGACAGGTTGGTCAACCCGATGGAGTTCAAAGTTGGTGATCTCGTACTAGTTCTCAAAAGAATTATTCTTGCGCACTACAAAATAGGTGGAAATTTTGAACCAACTTAGGAGGGACCATTTGTCAAATAGAAAGTCTATTCAGGAGGATCTTACTAGCTAATGGATTTCTGAGGCAAAAGGCCTATGTTATTGATTCATGGCTGATATTTGAAAATATACTACACAACATAATATTTCTTGAAATGAATTTTTAAAAATGTTACTTATTTTGGGATGTTTTGTTTGGTCGGCGCATATGACTGCATCCAAAATTTTGTAATAGAATTAACCTCAATAAAATGAAAATTTGAATTTGCATACCTTAATTTCCTTCATTTTAACTTTAAAATTTCACTAAATTAAATTAAATAAATAGAAGACTTGCACTTGTATAAATTCAAAATTAGTTTAATAACTAATTTGTTGTCATTCTTATTCGTTCCAAATTTTAGCTCACTGACGTTTTTCTGTCTTCTCCAGAAAAATGTTGGGGCTAAAGGAGATTTTCACCCTTAAAGACAGCTTGAATCTCGTACTTAATGAGGAAATATTAGCTTAGGATGACATCGTAAACTTTGAGTTGGACTTCGATCTAGTTAATGTGGACTATGAGGGTCCCCTGATGAGCATAGTGAGCTGGAGAGAGACAGAAGGTTACCATCACTACTAAAAATTAGTACTAAAGATGACTCCTCACTGTAGAGGAAGAAAGTAGTGAAGCTACAAAATCTAATGGAAGAAACTAGCCATTTACGGTCCATGATCACTGCACCGATAGAAAACTCAGTCCGTGTCGGATGCACCGTTTAGAAGGACCCAACGACATAAGACCTATTGTCGTAAACATAGAGCTTTCCTATGTTAGGAGAAAAGACGTATAAAAGATGCAGATGCAACATTTACCCAAATTCTTTAAGAGGTTTTCTATGATCCATTCATGAGGGATACCTCTACCAATCTGCCCGTCACGAAAGATGAGTCAGAGTTTGTCACAGAGCCAACACTTCCAGATATTCTATATGAGCTTTGCACGATTGCCCAACATGCAACACTGAGATTAGAAGAGAAGCATCAATAACAGGAGCATTTGTGTAGTGCCCAAGATGTAACATCCTCTATTTGGAGTGTTACTATACCTTTGAGGAGTATAAAGCTGTCAAAATAGGGTGACAAGAGGCCAATCACTAAAATATTAAGTCATACAACCCACTGTATATAGAGCCGACTCGAACATGGTTTCCCACAGAGATTAAAATGGGGGAGAAACCCCGATGAACACAAAGTATTACTACCAGAGAGTTAGAAAGGATGAGCAAAGTCAAGAAAAGAGAATTTGAGTTTTATGATAAAATTCAAGGAAATTTTGTTAACATCTTGTAAGGTCTTGAACTACACACTGAAGTTTTCTTTGAAAGTGTTAAGAGGGGGATTCTCAACTATATGTTTGATTTAAGGGGTAGAGGCCGGTCCGACTTATTATTGAAGAAGACCTACTCAGAGCTCGAGAAATGGATGAGGGGAAATGGAAGAATTACAAGTAAATGTGGTTGCTGCTATAACTTCGTAAAGGATTAGCTAGGGAACCCCCAAGGAATCCTAAGATATGAAAAGGTGGATTCTCTACCTACCATGATAAAAACGACGTTTAAGAGAATGGTCAGGTGGCGCATACTACTGGTAGATTGTATCCCAAATAGCTGCATAATCACCATCTATGAAGAAGGAGACTGTATTCCTCCACATATTGATCACCATGATTTTTTCGGGCCCTTTTACACAGTGTCCTTTATGAGCAATAGCAATATTCTATTTGGAAAAGAAATTGATAATGTTGGACCTGGAGAATTTTTAGGATCTGTTGAAATCCCATTGCCAGTAGGTTCAGTTTTAATTTTGAAAGGAAATGATGCAGATCTGGCAAAGCACTCCATCACAGGAGTGCGACAACGCAAACTTTCTGTTACATTAAGAAGAATGGAAGACAGTAAGAAACCACATGGATTCCATCCGGATTATAAATTGGAAGAACTGTGCCCATAAGAGCTATGATATAGTTGTACCCTTAAGTGTACGAAAAAAAAATTCTTTCCTCAGAGCGTGGCTTAAAAGGCCAGCTTGATCATGAGCTCACCACAGAGGACATATAAATAGATATTGTCACTTTTTGTACTGCATCATGGTATGGCAGATATGATATGTAATGTTTCTGTTGCATTCAGTATTTGATATGTATTCAACATTTTATGCTTCAGAATGTATTCAACATGTTATCTTTTGATAGCTTCAGCATGCGTTCAGTTTGTAACACAAATTTGAAGCAATTTATGAAGTTTCTTTTAGATTTTAGTATATTTTTCAAATATCTTTTTTGTGCAATGGATAAAAATCCACAGAACCACATGTTGGTTCTAAATTCTAATGAACAAAGAATGATACAATGAAAGTCTGATAATAAAATTTATATAAAATAAATTTTAAAAAAATCAATCAAATGGAGATTAAATTTGGAAGATACCTTGATTATCAAATGATGATAAAGACAACAAGAAAAATGATAATATTAAAAATTCAATTCCTCTTGAATTCGAAGTTCCATGCTCTCTGCTTTCACAACACGAACGTCTCTATCTGTACAAATTTGTCACAACGCCCCATCGAGTGCCACAATTCACACAAAATCTCAGCAAATTTCTACAAATCTCTATATTCATGAAATCTTAGCACTTGGAGTCAGTATCTAAATTATGATTTTGTCCACATATTTTCCACCTCTTATCTGAAAAATTCTCTACATTTAAGGAAATCTTCCGGTCGGTGCATGGATTCTGATTTTGTCCACATAATTTCCACAACCTATCCAAGAAATTTTTTGCATTTCTTGAAATCTATGGGTCGGTGCTTAGATTTTGATTCTGTCCAAACATTTTCCAAATCCTATCAAAAAAAAAAATTCGTACACATGAAATCTCTGGGTCAGTTCATGGATTCTGATTCCGTCTACATATTTTCCACCTCTTATCCGAGAAATTTTTCCACACTCATGAAATCTCTGGGTTTGTGCATGGATTTTGATTCCATCCACATATTTTCCATATCCTATCTAAGAAATTTTTTTGCATTTCATGACATCTCCAATTCGGTGCATGGATTCTAATTCCATTTACCTATTTTCCACTTCCTATCCGAGAAAATTTTTTTCCCCACTCCTGAAATCTCGGGGGTTAGTGCATGGATTTCTATTCCGTCCACATATTTTCCACATCCTATCCGAGAACTTTTTCCGCACTCATGAAATCTCTGGGTCTGTGCTTGGATTTTGATTCCATCCACATATTTTCCATCTTCTATCTGAGAAATTTTCTTGCATTTCATGAAATATCTGAGTCGGTGCATGGATTCCAATTCCATCCACCTATTTTCCACATCCTATCTGAGAAATTTTTTTTCCGCACTCATGAAATCTTGGGGGTTAGTGCATGGATTTCTATTTGGTCCACATATTTTCCACATCCCATTCGAGAAAATTTTTCCACAATCATGAAATGCCCAAAATGGTGCATGGATTATAATTCTGTCAACCTATTTTCCACCTCCTGTTCCCAAAAGTTTCTGCATTTCATGAAAACTCTGGCTCTGTGCATGGATTTCGATTCCGTCGACATACTTTCCACCTCCTATTTGAGAAATTTTTCCGCATTTCATGAAATCTTTGCATCAGTGCATGGATTCTAATTTTGTCCACATATTTTCCACCTCCTATCAGAGAATTTTTTTTCGCATTTCATGAAATCTCCTTGTCCTTGCTTGGTTTCTTGTTCGGTCCACACATTTTCCACATCCTATCCAATAAATTTTTCCACACTCATGAAATTCCAGAGGCTGAGGGAGCCCCTCTTATTGCAATCATTCAAATTAAATTTCAGAGGTTGAGGATATCACATCTAATTCTGCATTGCTTTAGGAGCCTCTCCTATCTCAATCTTTCAAATCAAATTCTAGAGGTTGAGGATGTTACATCCGATTTTGCATTGCTTTAGGAGTCCCTCCTATTGCAATCATTCAAATCAAATTTCAGAGGTTGAGGATGTTACATCCGATTCTGCATTGCTTTAGGATCCCCTTTTATCACAATCTTTTAAATCAAATTTCAGTGGTTGAGGATGTTACATCTGATTTTATGTTGCTTTAAGAGCCCCTCCTATCACAATCTTTCAAATCAAATTCTAGAGGTTGAGAATGTTACATCCAATTCCACGTTTCTTTGGGATCCTCTCCAATCACGTTCTTTCAAATCAAATTCCAGAGGTTGAGAGAATAATCCCTTTAATTGAATCAAGGCTCCCTATCTTTGAGATCGGAGTCAGACCCCCTTAAATGGTATGATTTTTTTTATTCTCATCTTGAGGCTCGTACCTGAATTCCAGTTGTCCTCTTAGACTTAGTACCTAAATTCTAATTCCCACCCTAAAGTTTGGCGTAATGTACCTAGTTGTTGCCATTCATCAACTAGATCCAGTTTGGATGAATGTCCCTAGCGGTTGCCCAAACTGCCATAGTCTTTTCTTCCCAATGTAATGTCCTTAATGGTTGTTGTTCTTTATAGTGATGTCACCTCATGAGTTGGATGTAATTCCTTGTGCTTTCCATCTTGATTCGGTCTCCTCATACATAATTCTATCCTCCAAAACTTTTGACATTGAAATCAAAATGAAAATTTTTGAACATCAAATTGAAATAAAATCTTCGCCGCAACTGTCAGTTTTCTTGATGGTTATTTCAGAATCCCATTCCTTTTTTCCCAACGGGAGTCACTGCTTACTCTCTAATGGAAATTTTCCACTCATTTTTCTTAAGTTTTGATTGTGTTGACTAAGGCAATAGTGTTGATTTTGTTAATCTCTTTGGTCAATGCCAATACATGTGGTGTGCTGGCCCGACACACCACACCTTTTATGGGTCCATTTATTGACCTCATTTTTTGTTGAGGTCTAGTATCCTCCTTAGAAGTATAGGGTCTAGCCATAAGAATTTCTTGTTGACTATTCCTAAAGGACTAGTAAAGGAACCCTCACCATTAGAAACTTTAAACTCTTTTTTGCTCAATTTGAAGTTCCACATATTGGTCATAACCTCTAACATTTAGTAGGTGGGACCTATATGGTGGAGCTCAAATGGAGTCCACATAGAATTACTTGGCCATACAATGGACCTTAGGTTGTATGGCCTTGGTTAGTTTCACACACACACACACACACTTCATACCACTCACATACACTCACAACCTCAGGCTTAAGTCAAATATGCTTAGATGGTCCCTTAACTTAATGAAAAACTCATGTAGATGGTTACCTATGCCAATAGCCTTATGCTAGGGTTTAGCTAAGACCAGCACATGGAGGACCCAAAGTAGGGAATCCTATTGGTCCATTGCTCAAGTAGGGTGGTTGTGTGGTTGGCAACCCAAATCCTACCAAAATACCTAATTTAGCCTTTTGTCCCCAAAATCTACCCAAATTACCAAACAACTCTTGAAACCCAAATTTTGACCAAAATTCCCAAAATTACCCAAAATTGCTCAACTTTGTTCAAAAATCATTTCAAATCATTTGAACCACCCAAATTATCCAAAGCAACCCAAAATTTTGAAAATTACCATAATACTCCTAGAGACCCAAACTGTCTCAAAGCCTTCAAAATCATTACAAATGACCCCAAAACAAATTTGGACAATTCCATTGAGTCAAATTTAACCAATTTGACCATTTTTGACCAAAAGGTCCAAATTGCCCTCAAAGGCACAATTACCCTAATTCACCCCCAATGTCCATCAATTTGATCCCAATTTTCCTAAAATTCAATTCTAACCTCAAATTCATCATGTTTAAAATTGATTGAAACCAAATCCAAGCCCAATTCAACCTAATTTCAAGCCCAATTTCAATCTAAATCCAAATTTCCCCAATTTGACCATTAGTCAAAATTTCCTAAATTAAACGCTCAAAACTATCTAATTGCCCCAATTTGAATCCTAAACTCCTTAAAACACTCCCTCAAATAAAATTGAACCTTCAATTGGCCTTGGTAGAGCCCCAATCTCACTCAAATTCAATTTTTCCTCAAACTCCAAATTCCACCAAACTGAACATCATAAACCCAAAATTTCCACTCAATTGATATTCAAAACTCTTCATGACAATCCCTTAGACCCCTTAGACCAATTTGAACCACCAATTTGAACCATCAATTGGGTCTAACAAAAGCCCTAGCCCAATCCGAACCTAAGGCTAACCAAAACGCTCCAAAATTAGCCATGAGCCAAATTCCATCTAATTGAGCTTCCAAATCAAATCCAAATCACTCAATTTTTTTCTAAACTCCTTGTGACAATAATTTACAATATTTTGATCAATTAATTGAGCTCAGTGCCATCACTAGCTCTACCCAAGCCCAAATTCAAACCAAAAAGTTTAAAATTAAACCCATGCATCAAAGTTGACCAAACCAAACCAAATTGATCAACTAAAGCCACCACAACCACTATTTGGACTCTTATGGATAGGCTAGACCCACCTAGCCCACCCTATATGAGTTATGTACCAAAAGTCCCTTAATTCAAGCGATCTCCTCCCATATTTGTCATAATCCAAGATACACTCTCCATCAACCTTAACCATTTAGATTTAATCATTATTAACCCTCTCCTGACTCTCATGACTTCTCTGGCCACCACCCCTCGCCCTGTCGGTTGGTCTAGTGGCTAGAAAACCCGAAACCAAGAGAGCTATCTCACCCAAATACACTCAAATTAACCCATCCAATGTGGCTCATCCCAATTAGTCTTTGTCACTCTTCAGCCCTCCACATAGGCAGCCAAGTGCACCTGAGTTGAAGCCCTAAGCTCCACTCCTTCCATGGCTATTTAATCCCACATCCTCCACAGCCATAAGGGAGGATAACCAAAAACTAAACAAAACTCTACCAAAATCTCACCAGGCGTCCTTACAACTTAGAGAAACTCATTCCCACCAATTTCTAATTGT